TGGCCCAGAAGATCATCGGCTGCGGTCTCACCGAGATTAAACAGCTCTATGAGGACTGCTGCCGTGGTAGAATTCTGGCCATCACAGAGGACAGTCACCACCCCAGGCATGAGCTCTTCACCCCACTGCCCTCAGGCAAGAGATATAAGAGCATATGGACACTTACCACTAGATTCTTCAATAGCTTCTATCCACAAGCAGTAAGTCAAACAGACTCCAGGAAGACAGCATTATGTTGTTGACTCAGGGTCACTGATGCAATGTTCCTGAAATAGAGCTTTCAAAACAACCAGTGTTTTTGGTGTCTGAACTTCAGTTATATTATAGTTTTTTGCTGTACTATGATTTTGAAAATGTTGGCAGCTAGAAGCAAAACAGATTGGCGAACACATTTAGCCATCCCCCTTGGACCACACCTACACCATCACCATCTACCTCTTTATGATTTCTTATCTATTGCACAACTCCAGTCATTGTTTACACGTCTGTATTGTTTACATTCAAACTGTCTACATGTTTACTTGCACATTGTCTACAGTTTGTTTGTATATTGTCTTGATGCACTGTTTGCACTTTGTTTTGGTTTTTTACACTTGTTTTACAATCGAGAGACTTTCTGTAAGAATTCCGTTGTACCAGTACCGGTTACATATGGCAATAAAGTTCAAGTTCATGTTGTTGTCAGAGTTTGAGTGTTTGTCTTTCTTTCTTGTTTTGGACTGCTTACTCTAATCCAGGTCTTCAAGACTTCCTGGTGCAAACAGTGGGGCAGGTGCCAATCAACAAAGATTGAAGCAAATACTCTTTGCATAAACGCCCATAAATTACCACATGGTTCAGAGGTGACATGTGGGATTGCGCCAGCGAAAGCTCAAGTATGGGGGAAGAATAGACAATGTATTGTCACACTTTGCAGTCTGCAGTCAATTCAATTCAAGTCATAGTACAGCTGCCTTGTATTGTGTTTGAGGAATTGTGGGGTTTTAAAATATTTCAAAGTCTGGCGTGGAATTAGATTTGGAATTGCAGTTTTTTCTGTTTACAAAAGCAGAATTTTAATTTATAGCTGAGACCTGCTCATTGATTGATTGCTTGCTCAGATTAGAAGCAAAGAAGTACAACAGCCCCTAATAAAGTATTTAGTAGTCTCCAATCAAAAATTAGGTTTGATTTCAGGACTAGTTAAATATTTTAATCCTTCAGAGAGATGTTTTAAGAAGGCCTTTAGTTGTCAGTTGTGAGCTGCAGGGTAGCAAACATGTTTTTATTTGTGTTAACAACAGAATATACTGTACATAAAAAAATAGTGGAGGAACTATGGCTCTGTGCCTCTGGTTGGAAGGTTGCTGGTTCAAATCCCCTAGCTGGCAGAGGAATCCTAATCTGTTGGGCTCCTAAGCAAGGCCCCTCACCCTACCTGGTGTTGTACAATTGCTGACCCTGTGTTCTGACTCCAGGCTTCTCTCTCCCCATCTGTATGCCTCATTGAGAGGAAGCTGGGGTATGCAAAAAGACAAATTCCTAATGCAAGGAATTGTATATGGCTAATAAAGTGATATTATCTTATACTTTCTTCTATCTCTTCTTGTTTTTGCCAATGAGTTATAAATGTCCAGCTTCAATGAAGGAGTTTGTATTTCATAGCTCTGTTTTATTGGTTTTTAATATTGTTGTATTCTGGAGCATATGATGTATGTTCAGATGTCCTACAACATAAGAAGCTGCCAAAGAAAGTACTGTGTCCCTTTGTCCAATCCAGTTGGTGCTAGGCCCAGCTCCCAGGAGGTTGCATAATTTTGTCCATTCTGCCCCACACCGCATTGGCAAAGGGGCAACTCCAGAACAAGTGCTCCTGAGTTTCCTTGATGAAACACGTGTCCCAGGCGCAATGCGGGGTCCTTGTGAGCAAGTGTCCGTAAAGGACATTTCTTGTTGCGAGCCTCTGGTGCACGGCAATTCAGTTGAGGTCCTTCAGCTTGTTGTCCAATTCCTTTGGTTGCGTCCTTTCCCAGACCTGTCTGGGAACCTGCAGCCTTTCATCGGTGACCAGTTGTCCCCTCACCCCCTTGTACGGGGATCTATAGTTGGTGCTGAGCTCTCGGTGTCGTGTGGCATCCCTCATACCTCCTGCTCCACTTAAAGGCGTGGTTATAGAACTCCAGTCGACTATCCACTTTGGGCCCAGTGTTTGTCTACTGGACCAGGTGCCTCATCAGGATGAAGAACCACAGCCTGACAAAGTACTGGTACTTGAGGCTGATGGGCTCCCACAGCGCCCGACAGAGGTTGCAGAAGAAGGTGCAGTCAAGTCTCAGAGGGAAATGCGACACATCTTTCCCCTTTTCCTCTACTGGCTGGCACATCTGGTTCCTTGTGATGTACTTGTACCTGCTGCCCCAGATGAACTTGGAGACCCTTCCTTGCAGTGCTCATCTGAGTCTGGCCAATGCTGCACATTTGTGGTGGAGGAGAGTCCTCATTACCTGCAGTGGGGAGCACTGTTCCCCATTACCAGTGCAGTGTCCAGAAAAGCGCTATATAAGTGTAAGCTATTATATTATTATTATAACTATTATTATTATCAGGTTAAAGAAAGAGATCTGGAAAAAGCACAAAGAAAATAATCACCCAATAACATAAGTGATCTCTCAAATGCTTAAACATTAACAACAATCCAAGAATCATGAAGAAATACAAAACTCCACAAACTACAGTACCTAAGAGAAATAACACTCCACAGCTCTGCTGTGACCCTCAAAAACAATTATTTGCAATAAAAGTACAAGCAGAGCAAGCAAAATAATTATCCAACTTCAGTGTTTAACAATAAAGAAATTGTTAGAAACAGACTACAATGTGTTGGCAGCTCTTGATGGAAGTTGGCTTGTCTGGGTAAAGAAGGAAGCTCTGCTGAGGGTGAATGGGGTTTCTACACAGGGATTAAATGTTTCTGTGCTGTACTGTGGGAATGGGATAATCTCAGAAGAGAGTAACTTCCTTCATGCTGATGGACTTCATCTAATTTTCTGTTTGCCTGATGGATGAGCTGTCGATCTATACAGAGAAAATGTTGAATGGTGAAGGTATAGTATAAGGCCTTTCTCTGCATGCATCAGAATCAACATGGGTTCTGTGTGCCCTTATTATTTCAGTGGACCAGTAGGTGGTCAGTGAGGGTAGTGATTTTAGTGAAAAACTACAATGGATTAATAGGATTATCATCCCCTTGTGCCTTCCAATAGAGTAGCAGCATACAAGCTAGGTAAGCAACTTTCATCCTGTGACTAGACAACTGAAACAGGAAAATTTATTTCTCTGAATTTCTTTGGCAGCAAATGACAGATTAAATTATCTCCCCTAACATAACATTAGGTGGTAGTGAATGCAGGTACCAACTCCACAGAAGGTGGTACTTAATAGATTGGTGCTGACAGCTTTAATAAGTGAAAAGATACATTTTTCAGGGAATCCCTGCGGGAAACCACAACATAAAATCCATCAGTGGAAATATCTGTACACTTGTCTGAAAATATTGCAGTGATATGTTATATTAATATATTTTGTGAAGGCTCTGTAAGATATTTTTCTGTTTCTCAGCCATTAACGTACAGTATCTCATAAAGTTAATGAAAAACACAGCAATATGTGGACAATTGCATTAACTGTCTGTGTGTTAGATTCAGGAAGTCATCCTTTAGAAGTGAATTTTAGAAGTAGGTTAACCCCACTCTTTTTTGATATTTGAATATTGGTTGCCAGTTACTGGAAATCTATCAGAAAAAGGCATATTTCTAAGAAACACATTAAACTTTTTTAATAAACACTTTTAAAATAAAAGTTTTGAAATGTAAAGTTTTTTTTAATTAGTTAGAAACTTTAAAGAACAATAAAGTACACTAAAAATAATGTCCAAACTCAGTAATCCATGCTCAGGCAAGCACCTGAAAGAAAACCTGCTTCGTTTACCGGATCTGGGTAAGGTTCATAATTCAATGAAATTTTCAGGACCATAACATCTATTTACTTCTCTAATATTCTCATAGTTATTCTGTTCTGCATACAGTAAGGCAAACAAACAGAAAATGTCCATCCCATTTGTTAAAACTACACGCTGTTATGTGCATAAAAATGTTTCAATAATTCAATCAATAAGCAAACAGTTGAGGTATTATGCATGAGATGTGGGTATGAAAACAAAAAAGGGCAAAAAATGAATAGAAAATATAAATATAAAACACAGATATAAAGCATAAATGTATTCTAATATATTATAACTTTATTTTTGACTCCATTAGAGAAATATAATATATTGAACTTAAGCCTTTTCTGCTTTCATTCTGAAAAGATCACCCCCATTGGGATCAGGAAAGATCCAGAGGTTAAAGACAAGCAAAGAGAAAAGGTATATTGAAAAAACAAGTACTTCAGTAAAATTCTAACTGCTTAAGTGTGAGAACACAATTATCAACATAAAACATGGATATTTTTCAAATTACATTAATGAAAATACACAAAGTTGCACACAGGACATTGATTTCACACTGTTTTTAATTGCATACAAAGCTGAGGTGAAATAAAGTTTGCTTCACATCCCATTGTAGCTAGAGGCTGCACTCCAGGTTAATTTTTAATTAATTGCTCTTGCAAGGAAAATGAGGCACCTGTCCAGGCAGTTCAAGGAACCAAAGCAGTCATTCATTATAGTTTATCGAGGCAGTTCAATAAACTGCTCTGCCACATGTACCTAGAAAATTTATGTAGTCTTCCCAGAACTGCTGCATAATCTACCTGAACCGAACTCATATGACGTAAAGGAATATGGAAGTAATTTTTTAATCCCACAGATTTGTTTATATATGTTTAAATATGTTCAGTTGAGCCTTTTGGTTCATTTGTTGATTTTAGTAGTTATTAACAATACTCATGATGTCTGTATTTTATGTAGCACCTTTTCATGACATTATCTCAGGCTGTTTATAATAAAATAAATGAACACAACATTGTGAAACACATTTTAATACAATACACAGAATAAATTCCAAACTATTAAAGCAAGATTTAAGATATCATTTGAAAGTGCTGATTGACGTTTAAGTTCTAATGCAAGTTGTATGATCCGATGCCTTGGACCAGCAGAACACAAAGCATGGTCTCCCAAGGTCCAGGTCTTTCTTTGGGGAAGTGATGGAAGAGTGATGGGAGAGTCAAAAGAGTGCATGAGTGTGGTGTTAATTGGGAGAACAGTTTGATTATGTCTTCAGAGGTCAAATCATTCAAATCATTAAAGTTGAGGTATACTGAATTCCACAGTCAGTCCAAGGAAACCTGTGAAACAGGTGAGAAATGATCATGTATTTTGAATTATTTTGGATCAGAGCAGCTGAGGTCTGAATTATTACTTCTTGTGAAGAACATTTTTAGATACACAAGCAAACACTACATTATAATCATATAGCCTGCATGCATTAGCTTCTCTACTTCAGACTGGGAGAGACACCAATGAAGATTTAGAATCTTATAAAGACAGAAAAAAGCTTCAAATACAAAACTCTAATCAAAGACGAGTCCAAGATTTCTGACTTGAACACTGATAACCCTGATGTGGACTGATTTCAGTGCTATCAGTAGTCAACCTAAAGCTGACGCAGTTGCAGAAATGACAAGAATTTCCAATCAACCCACAGTTGGTCTTGTCTTGTTGAGACTTAGAAAATGTTGCATACAATTTTTAAACATTTAAGAAGCCTCAGAAGACAGGTAGTGCTTGATTAATGATAAGCCTCATGTGAGCATAAATTTATTGTCATCTTACTGAGCATAAAAATGAAAACATGGAAGAGTTTGACAAAACTGTTTAATGTGTATACTAAAAAGAACGGGACCAAAAGCAAAGACACTGGGTAAAACAGATTTGCATAAGTTGTTTTCCATCAGACAGATAACATTTAACCCATAACACAGAAATTTCAGTAATACCAACAACACTTTCTTACGTATTCAGCAAAATTTTAACCACTCAAAACAGCACTAAAGCCCAGAAGGACAGGAATGGCTAAGTAGTCAGTCACCAACAAATTATCAATAAATAATTAGTAACCATAAACCATAAAAATAGTGTTTCACTATTATGAATTGATATGAACCTAAACTGAAAATGTTTATGTAGCTTATATTCAGATAAACAATCTTGTAAATTAATGTGAATATCTTTTACCTGATGCTTTGCCATATTGGTTAATAATTACAAAGTACTGTAGGCTGGAGTTGTGAGTTTAAACAGATGGATAATAATTGGAATTTAAAGAAACACATGGATGCCAATAAGTACGAAAGTATAATGGAATCTTCCTAAAACATCCAATATTACCTTACTATGTGTCCCATCATGAATTAAAACTGAGCTTAGATGTAGGTGGTCAAAGGTAACAGCACCCCTGATTCACTCAATACAAAGTCAGCAAAATATGAATCTTTTTATATAGGAAGTCCACACTAATGTTCAGATAGAACAGCTTTGTTTTGTAGTTTTATTGATTCTTACTAGCTAAAAACGTATTCTCACAATTTACTGTTCCAATTTCTAATTGTTCCAGTAATTTCAAACCGTCACATCACTACAGAATAGTAAAGCAATCTCTCACCTTCAGTATTAGTTGCTGTTGTAGAGTTTGTAGACAGTACCAGGAACACGATCAGATGACAGTGATCCCAGTCAACCACACGCTAACCGCAGCATGTGGCACATAGATAGTGAGGTAAACTGAACTGAGCCAACAAAGTACAGCAGTAGTATATAACTTAAGAGGAACAGGAGGTAGAAGGTTAAATTAAACTATATGGTACTAATTTATGACTTGCCAGCAAATACATAAAGGAGGATTTTGAGACCCAGGTCAATAGCAGAAACATGTATTCCTGGGTGTCAAAACAGAAGTCAGGTCAGAGAAGCAGGAAGTTTGCCAGATATTGCTCAAAGAAAGAAAATCAGCTTTAGCATGAATTAAGGTAAACAAGAAATTAGTATAAGTTCCAGAACAAGTGTGTTTTGTAGCTTATCATGCTGAAAGACCTTCAGGTTTGGAGGTAACAATCTCTTCAAATGATGCTTGGGGGTGAAAGCCAATTTAGATGCCTCTATAACAGCCTCACAAAATAAAGCTGAAGATTTTCCATATTTCTATATCCTGAAAATTATCTTTCACACTACATAACCAGCTAAGAACTAGAACTAATTGCACCATGTATTACAATAACTTTAGCCAGCCAAGGCCTCTTATTCCAGGGCAAAGACTTACAGCAGACAATGACTGCTAAGAATCTGTAAAGGGTAGTCAGGTCAACTAGGTGTAGCCCCTCCAAGCTTTGCAGCAGCCAGCATTATGATAATTGACACTAATAGGTTGAAAGATCTAAACATTTCTATTCTTAAACAGAGAAGCACATGAGAGGACATTATTCAAGCACTCTAAATCCTCACAGGCTTTGACAAAGTCAACACAATGGACTTCTTCAGAATCAACAGCTAAATGTGAACCAGAGAACAGGAGGCATTTATTTATGTTAAAGATTGTGGGAGTATGGAAAACACTTCCAATGTTGTTGAAGTCAACAAGCTTCCTTCATGAAACAGCTGGATGAGATCTTTGGATCAATACGCTATCATCAAATGGGTTTAATGAGCAGAATAACCTCCTCTCATTTGTAACCAGAAACTTCTCCTTTCTTATTTTCTTAATAAATCTACTGAAAAACCCAATAAAAAGTGTAATTTCACAACCAAAAACAAAGTTTGTAGTGAGGAGGCCATAACAAACCAATAAAGATAATAATAAAGGAGTTTAATTCCTAAGAATAGATAGTGCCATCTACATACAAGACTTTGGAAAGAATCTTGCAAGTCAAGAAAGGAAGGAGGATGTCTTTCATACCAGTTTTATTTTACTTCTTGGCTTTTCCTGTATACTTATAGACCACCTCCAAATGCTGAGTCATGAAAAATGTAAAGTGTATTTATTGAAGGTGTTGGAAGGTCATTATCACTCTTACATCCAATCACATTACTCATGTTAGTCTACCTACCCGAATATTCTATTAGTTTTTTAAGTGACCTAATGTCAGACTTCCTTTATGGTTCTGTAGAACTCGGTTTACAACTATTTATCCAGTACCTCTTTTTGATTTTTGCACAGTACTTTTATACAGCAGTCACTAGGCATCAAATAACACAATGCACACATAGGTTAAAGAAGTGAAATATACAGTACAATCTTATTAATCTGATAAAATGTAGTGATTAAACCATAATCCGAGTAAATATAAATCAAACTGTCATAACACACATAAATAGCTGTTTGACCACTCAAGGATTAAAACAGCTAGCTCATTCAGGGTGAAATATGTTGATTCTAATACTTGGGTTAATAATAATAATAATAATAATAATAATAATAATAATAATAATAATAATAATAACATTTCTTTATTAACCCTTTACAATTTCTTGCATTAGGAATGATCTTTTCACATACCCCAGCTTGCTCTCCATGAGACACACAGACAGAGAGAGAGCCTGACAGAGTATTAAAATTACACACTGTACAATTACTCTCAATATACAAACATATTAAGTATTCATCTACCATTATAAATCAGTGTTATAAATATAAATCTTCATTTGGAAAAATATTTCAATTCTTCAGTTTTAAAATTTCAAAATTGACTGTACTATCCAATCAGAAATAACATGTCTGGCCTGGAAGAATTTCCTAATGAGGTTTTAGCCATGCAGAGAGAGGAGTCATGGAGAAGCCTGTCCAGTATTTGTCTCATGTGAACTGTGCCAGGAGGCTGCCCTGTGGGGGCATATAAAGGGAAGAGCTGGTTTGCCTTTTCCGAAGCAGCATAGTTGAAGTCTCTGAACATGCTAACCTGGCCACAGGTTGAGACTCGGTTGAGAGAAACTTGGAAAGCTTGTCTGAAGGTCAGTTCATGAGGGAGCTTTCACCTGGCAGGGCTTTCTATGCCATTAAAATGAGGCTCTAAAATTTCAGACCTCCATAAAAATCTAGCTCAGAATATTTTAAATTACAACCCAACCTATTATCCTATATGTAGTTGAAGTGTGGTTTCAAGTGAGGGACCAGAATTATCCACAAAACACCATACCATATGGAAGCCATGCAAAAAGAGTTCTGTCAAAACATTCTTCATGTGCAGAGACAAATGCCAAAGAATGCATGTATGGCTGAACTGGTCTGATATATATGCAAATATATGGAAGAGAGCAATAAAATATTGACTATACCTAAGCCCATTCAACCACCTGGTCAGTTCAAGCTCACTGCACTGAACCACAATGACATAAATCAGCCTCAGGAAAGCACTGATATTTCAAAACAAATCAGAGGCCAAATTACAAGACAAACTGAACAACAATACCTTACTCTGAGAAACTTTTTTCTCTAAAAAGAAAAATCTAATCCCAGAATTCTCACACCTACCAGAATCACAACAGCTATCAATCTTACTGGGCAAGGAGGGACTCAATATATCTTAGCTATTAGACCAGTATGTGATCTCCCATCAGAGCCTAAGAAACAGAGAGTAGGTCTATCTAATAATAACAATAATAAATGTTTGTTTTAAAGTGTTACTATAATAGTTATTGCTTTGGCAATGCTAATTAATGCCACTGATAATTTTCATCGATTATCCCCATGTGATAACGTGACATAAAGGAGAGCTGATGTTTTGCCTAAAGCCACAAGAGGGCCTCAAAACCTGCTTCTGGTCCAACAAGCATCAGCTACACTAATTTCCTTGTGAATAATTGGAAATAAATTCCTTGTCGCGTGTGAGAATTCCAAAAACATAGTTGTCCTGCAGCACTGTGAGGTGTACTGCTGAGCAGTGTGAACAATACAAAAGTGTAGCTCCACTGATGAAGTTGGCCCGTTTAAGGCTTAACAGAGAAGTAGTGGGTACTAGATAAATACAGGAAAAATCAAGATGCCAACCATAAAAAAAGACAATGGCTTCAGAATTAACCTAGTGGGAACAAATTATTGTTCTCTTCAGAATCAGTGGCTCCTATAGATCGTTTTACGTAGGAATTAGAGCATTGTTTCTGACACTATTGTTTAGAGCTAACTACAGGAGATTTCCAGATCAGATACCTAACACAGTACCAAGGAGTTCACCATAGAGAGAGAAGAGAGGCTTTTACTTTCTTTACTTTTAACTTCTCTGGAACCAGTTAATGATTAAAATCTGATCGACAAGCTGCTTCAGGTACTTTATTGCATCTAAGAGATGAGTCTGCTGTTTTTATGAGAGTAAACTTCTTGTACTTTCTTTTTACAGTCCATCATGAGATCATGCTATAGATTTATTTTGGCCTTTCAAATTTCACAGATATTTAAAGTGCATTATTGTGTGCATTTTGCAAGAAAATCAACAGATTGTAATGGTTAGGTCTATTGTGTTGGAAGAATATTGACAACTGTACTATACAAATATGGAGTTAAGCAAATAACCTGCAGAATGTTTTGTCTGATCTTTTCACAGAGATAATGTTACATTACTTTAAATATAAAGATAGTGTCACAGTGATAAGCCAGAAGGAAAATGTGGAATAAATTCTGTAGTCATCTAATGTAAACATTGTATTACAGGGTGACAAACATTCACAGCCTGCAAAACAGACATTGAGAATCAAGATTCCTAGAATTTAATTGTCCCAACTATTAACTTTCATATTATAATAGAACGGCTCAAACGTGTCTTAGCAAAGAGCTTTATGATGATAGAACATTATAATTTATTAAGAACAAATAACCCAGAATATATAAGCAATTATCACATTTCTCTTTAGAAATCAGTTTTAATGCTGAAAATAAAATTGTATTTCACTCTCCCATCTATTTAAGTGGAGTTCTCGGCTTTAGTCAATAGGGGGAAGCAAAGGTGTATCTGTGAAATTACACTGCAGTCCACAATCCTAGTGCTGCTGATGAAGGACTTTCAAGGTTGAACATTAAGACTGCATCAAAGCCACTACAGGGAAGTAATTTATCTGTTTATTAGGGACAGACATAAAAGGTGACAAGCACTCTCCCCTGAGTTAATTTGGAAAATGTAAAACTTTTTTTTTCCATTTAAAATCTAAAGCTCAAAATTCAAAACACCCCTTGGTGAATTCAAGTTAAAATATTCCCCTGGTTGTCTGCATGATCCTGTTTTTATTGCTGAATCATGTTTCAGCAAGACCAAAGGTCCTAATGAAATGCTGCCGTGGACGTGTAAGTGTTATCTCTCTTTCTTCATCCTTTTACAAGGTTGAAGAT